GGTAGCGCTGGCTCGGGCAGTTTGGCTCTTAAACAGAGCCGAAGCGTCAGGGGAGGAGCAGAGCTGCCGCGGGAGGGGAAGTGCCCGGCCGGCATTTTCCCGGACATGTTCGGCTTTTTGGCAATTCCCCCCGGACGGGGGTTTGATTGCCGAAAAGCCGGACATGTCCGCGAAAAAACGGACGTATGGTAACCCTAATACAGTAGAACCTCAGAGTTATGAACACCAAAGTTACAAACTGACCAGTCAACCACACACCTCGTTTGGAACCGGAAGTACACAATCAGGCAGCAGCAGAGAATTTAAAAAAAAAAAAAGGCAAATACAGTACAGTGTTGTGTTTAAATGTAAACTACTAAAACAATAAAGGGAAAGTTTAAAAAAAAAAATTTGACCAGTTAAGGAAACTGTTTCTGTGCTTGTTTCATTTAAATTAAGATGGTTAAAAGCAACTTTTTTCTTCTGCATAGTAAAGTTCCAAACTGTATGAAGTCCGTGTTCAGTTGTAAACTTTTGAAAAAACAACTATCCCGTTTTGTTCAGCGTTATGAGCAACCTCCATTCCCGAGGCGTTTGTAATTCTGAGGTTCTACTGTATGTGTTTAGAAACCTCTTTGCAGAGGCTGTGTTCCTTGAGGACGCTGTTGCTTGTCCTCAAAGAGTTAAACTGTAAACTGGAGTGCCCGCAATGGGGGAGCTCGTCGAAAAGGTTGCTTAAGGAGACTTGAGGCCCTGGCAGTTTAGCACTGCTCTTTTTACCATTTTCAAGGCTTTTCGCAAAGAAAAAGGTTAGAAAGTTTATTCGTTTGTTTTTAAATAAAAGCTGAGATCCTCCTTTCTGTTCCTTAGTCCCCCCCCCAAATTGAATGGGGTGGGCTGCAGCCATGTTCTTTCCAGGCCAGCTCTGTCACCAACGCTGCTTCCTGGGGCAGCCTGAGGCTTCCTGGAAGGAATGTGGGGACGTCTCCTAGTCCAGCATTAGCTTAGCCCAGCGCTGCCTCGGTTGTGAGACGACAGCCTGAGGTGGTCTGGCTGGAGGCCATAAAGTGTCAAACGCCCTTGAGAAAATGAAGAGAAATAAACGGCAAAAGGCCGAATTCAGTCTGTTGCCAGCAGAGTGGACACCACATGGTCTCGGACTCAAAGCTGAAACAGATGAGGATGAAAACAAGCAAGAGGTAAAAAGCCGACGTAGGCCAAACCAAACAGCCTTTTATTTGGAACCATCATGCATGTGGAGCTGGGCGAGAGAGGATGTAAGGCCAGGCAGGTCTCTGTCACAGGGTCAATGTGATTATTTGCTTTAGAAACTCCTGCTAGTTCATGTTGCCTGGTTAAAATGACCTGAGTGTATGCACTTGTCTGTTGGGTACTTGTAAAGTATTGCCTGTGTAGTGAGTATCAAGAGACCGGCATTCTTTCAAGGGTGCTGTGTGCATAGAGTCTCTTCGGTGAATGTTCCATTTGTAGGCTGGTGTGTAAGCTGATAGACTTGTAAAGTAAAATATTGGCCCAATACGTCTAGCACGGCATCCAGCAGGAAGATCCTGTCATGCAAATGACCATATAAAAAAAGGAGTCGGGAAGGATGTCAAAACACTTGCAGGCCTGGAGGGGAGAAGTGGGAGGGAGGACTTGTCGTGAGCAACTCCAAGATCTGTACAGAATTACATCCCAAGGCAGCTTGTATTTGCAAATTTGAGGCAGTATAATGTAGGCATACAAGCAAACGTCCCAATCCCCAGAACAGGAAGTCGAAAAAGCAATTATCCAGATGTGTGAACTATGGAGATTTGCCTGTAATACATATCACAAATTAAAAATTTAATATGGAGCCTGGGGACAGGCCAGAGTAAATAGGAGACAGATTGGAATGTTCAGGTATCTCTGCCGGAGTGGACAATAGGCTGGTGTGAGGCCATTTATTTTCCTTAAATGTAGTGGTTTGTGGCTCCAATCAGCACTGAGTGGTTGCTTTGCAGCCAGCCAAAGAACTGTGTAGAGCGGCAAGAGAGTTTCT